TCGGAAACAGAGCGGAATTCACCATCCGCATTATCAGACGAATTCACGTGACAAGGTTGTTTGTATTTTAGGTGCAAATATGTGTACGCATGAACGTTTATGTAAAGTTCTTGTGATAACTACACCATTCTACCACCGAATAGTTCACACAGATACCCACACACGCAAGCATCGATTGATAACTTGGATGTGTGTTTGCGCGAACGCGAGCAAACAATGCGAGTGCTGTGCGCTGCAAGTAGCATTTCGCTGTGCTGGATTAAGAAGTGCGCTCTGTTTCCGACGCGATCTGGTTCGATCTAGATCAACATTCGTCTTGGCCTCGGGCCCGCTCCGCACATAAGCCCTTTTGGATGTGAAACGGAACAAATTATATATCATATCCTCAATGCTATTCTCCAGTTTACACGGAATTTCCTACCCGTCATATGTGGATAGTTAGGAATATCCAAGAGTAATAAGTAAAGTTATTCTATGCATTTCTGACACAAACGGATTCATTTTGATGTGTGTTGATTTGATGTATTGTACCGACAGATTGCCTATTTTCACCAGATGTAACACGGCGTAAAATTAGACCTTAATTATTTTCGGAAAATAGAATTCCTCTAACAGTTTTGTTCATGAAAGTTTCCGTAAAAGTTCCATAAAAATACCAGATTAGTATCGCTCTGGCATTCCTGAATACCTGTTATGGTACATTCGTTGCTAACGGTCAGTAACATGAAACAGACGACCGTGCAATGCTCTTGAGGCTTTTCACCGATAAATGACATTTCCACTCTTTATGGCAAGAGATCAGCGCATCGTAAACTAAGGAGAACGCCAAACTCACTCTTCTTAGTTTTGCAGCAAACTGGGGGTATAAAGCGGAACTGCACAATTTTCATACACATACACATACAGCGCATACAGTCACGTGTTCGCTTTCTTGTATCATTCACGAGAACGAAAAGATGATTGTGGGTTAGTGCATTGTAACTGATAATAAAAGTGTATAATAATGGTGACCGTGAATTATGTTTCCGGGATCGGAACACTTCCTCATTCAAGGCAGACAATTTCGAATTCCGGATACTAATTGATTATTAATTAATTAAGCGACTCAATGCAACAAAAAGAGCTGCTTATTTTTATTGGTGTGCTGGATTCGTGAAATTAAAAGCAGAAACATTTGTACACAAGCAAAGCTGACGCTGATCAAAAACCGGTCTGTAAAGTACATGTTCCCAGTTTGCTTGACCGAAATGAGCGAAGTGTACAAACATACATAGTCGAACAGACGGAAGGTACCACACTAAAACGAGAGCAACTCAGTGAACAATGTGTGTATATTGTAATTTTCTGTTTTCAAGTTATTCTGTTCAGTCAATACAATTAGGCAGTGCTGTTTCTCAAGGAATACGTTTGTCGTTCTTAGGTAGTTCTGTTGATTCTTTATGTGGTCATCGGTGGTGGAAACGTTCAAGCAACAACTGAAATCGATGTAATGAGTTGCGTTTGTGTAATTCAATATTAGTCATGTAGTTATTGTTGGCCAGGTAACCATTAGAATCCAGTATTATCAATTAATTTCGGCGTAATGAATGGTATGTATCTGTTAAGCATTTTTAGGCTAAGCTTAGGTCAGGAAGCGATGGAGTTTCACTGTTTTTGGTGCTATGGATTGCGACATTCAGCCAAAAGCTTTTCTGTTACGTGGCTGCAATTGACGCAGCGTTTTGCATGTTGAATGACCCTCCTTGCTGAGACTATTTCTTTTTGATTCTTTTTGGCGAACGTCGCTTCAGCATTTGACCCAATTACATGTGAGTGTTGTGAGATACTAATCACTTGTAAGTATTAGGTAACTTTTGATGATCAAGAGTATAACAAGACCATAAAGGGCCAAGTGATATGTTTGGAAGAATAACTACTGACTGGTCTATACACCACCCTGTGTTTCGAAAAGAATTGCGATGGCACGTTTCTGATTCGGTTTTTCTGTTATGCATGCAAAATTACTGACCTCCCTTCGGTAATCCGCAATGAACGATTATCCTCGACCAGCACCGTCTTGTGGAATTATAACAATGAGTAGTGGCGTGGGATAATTGGTTGTCACTTTCCCAGATTAATGCTTCTGCACTCTTCTCATGCCTCATTTCATTTGGTCCTAACTGGTTTTCACGCGGAACTCTTTTTCCCTTGACCGAATGAACTTGCGTTCTCCCCAAACCGAATTCAGATGTGTCTTTCTTATTATTAATTCTTATCACCAATTGTAAGAAATGTCTTTCTCATTCGCTGCTCAAACACGATTTACTTGGTGTAAATCTTTTAGTAAATATGCCCATTCATCAGTATCCCCGAAATCGCAAAATAGTCATACTCTTGAAAACGCAATGTGAAATACCAACTTTATCACTGCTGGATTTTACCTACTATTCAACCTCTGGTCTAGATGTGCAATTTTCAGTTACATGTTACATCTTCAGCAGTTAGACACACCAACCTCAATATGGCCTTTTGGAACCTCACTACTTTAGGGTCTCGGTGATACTGACCCACCGGTGTATTTGGTGAGCCTATCAGTCTTACCAACTTCTGGACTAAATGCACGGATACATTTTTAGTGGCCACCACCGCGGACCTCATTGACTGTCGCACGCAACAGAGTGCACATGACGTGTGCGAAGTTTCTGAATAGTCACTGGCACGGTTTGCCCAACGTTTATAACGAATTTTCAGGAAACATCTGGATGGTAACTATTTTCACACATGCTTATCCGAGGGAAAAAGATACCCACGAACTACCTTTGGCACAGGACAACGGGAGTAGGTATAAAACCCGGTGGATCGCTCAGTAAGTGTAAGCGCTTTTAAGGAGTGTGCTCTAATGGTCATACTATACAATTTATAAAGACATTCACTTACTGCTCATCATAAAATATTCTACAAAGATGCCTGAGTCACCTTTGTTGCGGTTAGTAGTATCTCACCCACCTACAAAACAGCGAATCATAGTATTGATTCATAATTGGACTGGTTCTGAAAGGGCCATCCCAATTAATCTGCTCGATATCGCAAATCAGATATTTTGTCAAAAATACACTTCCTGGGTTCACGTATACGAATAAACTGATAACAGGCTGTCGGATAAGCATTCCTGACGATCAGCATCAGCCGTGAAACCTGCCATGAACTTGCAGAGAAACTTTGTGAAATTCGCTTACTACTTATTTGTATATTGCGCGAATTCGCCACCACGACATATCCTGATACAAAGGCACCGTCCACAGTTTATACATGGCTGGAATATTATCAGGTACAATTAGCCAACCAGAGCATGCCCCCTTAAGTTGTAGTTCACACGCTCATGATGTCCAATTCGCCCAGTCGAGTCAGTGGCTATAGCAAATAAAATGTAGAGTGTGCACCCTCAGCTCTGCTTAAGAGGTTTGGATCCCGGGGTTTTCACCTACCATGAATAAACTGACAGCCTTTATCGTCGACCCAGATATCGACTTTTCTCCCTATCAGTTTATTAGAACACTCACCACATGAACACAAACCGCAATCCAATGAGGGGCGGTGTCCAATTCATCGGATCATACACCCAAGGTGTCTAATACGCCTCAATGCCCAATCGAGCCGGTGACTATGGTCACAACGAGCAAGTCGTGTGTGGTTCGTACGCCTCCTCATGGTTAGTTTGGAATCAGGGTTTTTGGCCAACTCCCCTGAGTGAACTTCAAGTGGTCCACTAACCGGATTATAGCCCCGGATGGGTTTAACAGTCAAAATCAACTAATGACTGGTTAAAGCTCGTGAAATTTTCTGCATATATTTTCAAATATAATAATATATATAACTGCATCCAAAGCTCATCTTTGAACTACATTAATTATTCGTTATTCATTCGATCTCCAGTCCAAATCCGAGTTCGCATTATTTCATTTGGATTTGGGTTTCCGATATTACACTCATGCGCATACAACTCCAACGAAACGAGGGCTTCTTGATGACCACCGTATCATTGTTCTGTGCGAAACTTCTCAATTTAGGTCCAAATAACTAGAAACACTAATAGTCTGTTTTTTTTTCACTGAGGCATGTACCTTTACATTGAACTGCGGAGTATCTATAATTTTCGTACCGTATCTCTTTTTTCAAATGCATTTTGCTAGAAAGACCTTGCTTTGCTACCGTACATCCTGTTCTCATGTCCCTGTAACTCAAAAAAGAAACGGTGCATCTCTCAATTTATTTGAATCAGATAATGAATCATATTTTATATACCAATATCTCTGCTTTCCTTGTCATTTTGATCGTCTTTGCGTTTGTCCGCCATAAAAAATGGCTTTTCTATTCCTCTTGAACAGGCTTGCTCTATTTGGGTGCAAAGGATCTGCTTCGTCGCTTGCCGGAAGAATCCAGTAAATGAGGTGTTCGTACTCGCCTGTAAAATAATACATTGGTAAATATATGTACAAAGAACTACTCCGCTTTTCTCCGACTACTAACTCCCTACGGAATACGGTACTGGATGGAAGAGGGGTTATCTGTAATTACCAGTCAGTATCCTTCCTGCTCTGTTGAAACGCTAACACGAATTCACTCGAACCGGAGGGAGAGAGGGTACATCTAGGTGCAAACAAAACAGTGTTTCCGATGAAGATGGACCCATAGGACAATGTATAGCTACTAGTGCACTGACTAGCTAGTTCGATTGGTTGAAGGTTGATGAACTGATTTGTTTATAAATAGTACAGTTTATTAATTCCACGGTATCAAATAATCCACGTTAGAGTGACGCGTTAAACCCACAAGACC